CTGTCTTGTCTCTCAAGCTGAGGACTCTTGGCTATGGCATAGAAGGTTAGGACATATAAATATGAACCTTCTATCCAAATTGCCAAAAAGAAACTTGTGGATGGATTGCCTAATCTGAATTTTCAAAAAGATCAATTGTGCAAGGCTTGTCAGTTTGGAAAACAGCACAGAAAAAGTTTTAAACCCAAAACTGAGATTTCTACAAAACGTCCACTAGAATTACTACACTTGGATCTCTTTGGCCCAGTACAGCCTATGAGCTTAGGAGGTAAGAGATATACCCTTATAGTAGTGGATGACTTTTCGAGATTTACATGGGTAATCTTGCTCAGTAGCAAAGATGAAACCCTCGAAAAATTTTCTGTGCTTTGCAAACAACTTGAAAACAAAAAAGATTTTAAAATTGTGCATCTGAGAAGTGATCATAGTGGAGAATTCCAAAATCAGTTATTTGAGGAATTCTGTGAAGCGAAAGGCATTAGCCATAATTTTTCAGCTCCTCGCACACCTCAGCAAAACGGTATTGTAGAGGGGAAGAACAGAACACTCATTGAAATGGCTAGGACAATGCTTGTTGAAAACTATCTTCCTAAATATTTTTGGGGTGAAGCTGTCAGTACTGCGTGTTATATACTGAATAGAGTCTTGATCAGGTCAAAACTGAAAAAGACCCTCTATGAGCTATGGAGAGGGTGAAAGCCTAAGATTGGTTATTTCAAATCATTTGGATGCAAATGTTTTGTTTTAAACACAAAAGACAACCTTGGCAAATTTGATTCTAAAACTGATGAAGCTATATTTATGGGTTATTCATCACACAGTAAAGCGTATAGAGTCTTTAATAAAAATTCAAATACTGTGGAAGAGTCAGTACATGTGGATTTCGATGAAACTAACCATGCAGATTCAAGAGGAGAATCTGAAGACTGTACTGAGCTCAAAGCCACACTGACAGGAGTAAAACAACTCAGTTTGTCTGATCCCAAAGAAGATCCTTTAGTAGAGGAGACTACTCAGACACAGTCTCTTACTGACGCTCAACAAGATGCTAATCAAGGATTGCCTAAAGAACTAAGGATCAGAAAAGAATATTGATCCGATTCAAGATCATCGAGAGGTAATTCGTTGAATTTATAGACGAAAGAGTTCTTATCTCTA